CTCTTCGGAGGAGGATCTGGAGGTGCTGAAGCCGGGCCTTGCTGGGCCGCTGGTTGGAATCCCTCGGAGGCTGCCGCTCGGGGCGGCCAGCTGTCTCACGCCGGGTGCCTCCGTCCCGCAGGGCTGCTGGGCATGGTGGCTCACATGATGTACACGCAAGTGTTCCAGGTGACGGTCAGCCTCGGGCCGGAGGACTGGCGGCCCCACTCCTGGGACTACGGCTGGTCCTTCTGGTGAGCCTCAGTTTTAGTCAGCTGGTCTCGCTGCCTCCCCTCTGGGTGTGGGTGTGTGTCTCAAATGGCCTTCTGTGGAGCCGCTTTTCCAGGCGCGCACCAGCTGGGGGTGTGGTCAGCTGCAGGGGGCAGGTGGTCGTGGGCCTCCAGTCTGCCGGGAGCCAAGCGGGGCAGGGTGGCTGCTCTTCAGCTGGGGTTGGCCGCCTCCGCCCCCGCCTCCTGGGCGCTTGGGGCACGTGCTGCCCTTGAGGCCCGCCTGGCATCTTGTTTCCTCCCGCCCGCAGCCTGGCCTGGGGCTCCTTCACGTGCTGCATGGCCGCCTCCGTCACCACCTTGAACTCGTACACCAAGACCGTCATCGAGTTCCGGCACAAGCGCAAGGTCTTTGAGCAGGGCTTCCCGGAGGAGGAGGAGGAGGACCCCACCGGCCCGGCGGATCCGGAGCCCATCAAGTACTTCCACGAGAGGTCAGCGCGAGCAAGCGAGCGGAAGGGCACGGGGAGGCCGGAGGCGTCGGCACCCTTCGGTGGGGGAGGCTCTGCAAGCCTCCGGGGACTGGGGGGCGGGCCCGGGTACTGTGCCCTGCAGGGCCTGCCCGGGGCTCTTTCTTTTCTCCTGGTTTCTTGGCAGACTCAAACATTGTTGTCGTCCCACCCCCAAGTCTGGAGGCTCAAAGAGTCGTAGGTCGTGGGGGGGGGGGGCCCTGCGATTGTTTCTTGTGGGAGGCTGAAGGGGGGGAACCGAGAAAGCAGCTGCCCGCCCCACCCCAGGAGGCCCAAGAGCGCCTCCCGCCCTCGGCCTCCCCCTCAGCAGTGGGGGTGAGGGACGGGAAGGGACTGGAGTGTGTGCGTGGGGGGGGGTCTTAAGGTGGGAATTCGGGCCCTCGACCTGACCTGACCGGGAGGCCAGGCCTTGAAAGCAGACGGCAGGGCCAGGGGGGGCATGCTCCTGAGGCCTCTCCCAGTGGCTTCCGCAGGACCTACTCCGCAATCTCAGGCTCCTTGTCCTGGGTGGCCAGGAGCAAGGGGGGGGAGAGGGATCTCATCTGTTGAAGAGAAGGAGAGCCTGGGGGGTGCCGAAGAGGACATGGAAGGCCCTGCCGGGCAGACCTCCCTCCCCTCTACTGGAGAGGGCCGTTTTTGGGATGCTGGGAGCGTCCGTTGTGTAGCTGGTGTGGTGTTCTGGCAGGGTGCGTCTGGCCTTGTGGTGTGACCGGCCTCTTTGTCTCCTGAGGTTCCATCCTGCGCGGGGGGGGAGGGGGGCTGCTCCTGTAAATGCCCCTCCCTCCGCTTGGCCTGATGCAGATTATACAAAGGGGGTGGGTGAAGATGCGTCTGCATCGTCCGTTTTTGTAGGAAGTCCCACAGAAGGCACAATTTCCTTCTAGGTCCTCTGGGGTTTTTTTCATACCCCCCCCCCCCTTATTTCCATGTCGATTGTCCCGTGGTGGTGGTGGTACACGTGGGGTGGGAGGCGTGTCTTTGCGTGTGAATAAGCAGTCACCGGATAGTGGCAGGGACTCTTCACGTCGTGGTCGTTTTCCTCCCTGTAGAGGGGGCCCCTGTCCGTTGGGACCCTGTGAGAGGCTCTTGCCTGAGGTCTCTCTGAGGAAGTTCTGCCGGGAGGTGGCAAGGATGAGACCGCTGGTTGGCTGCCGGCCGCCCTCTTCCTGAGAGCTTGGAACGGAGGCTCTGGCTGGGTGTGGGGCGGGGTGGGCTTCCCTTTGGGTGCAGTGCCGGTTCCCGGCCCCGGGTGCGACTGGTCTCTTCTCTTTTTCCAGGCTGGAGGAGGAGAGGGATGAGGTGGGGGCCGTGAGGCTAGAGTGCCCGCGAGGGGGCTACTCCTCCAATAGTAAGTGAACCCCCTCCCCTCTCTCTGGGTCTCTCTTGCATGAGGGCACCGCTTGCATGAGGGGGCGTGGGGGGGGGGTGCACGGCTGCTGGGCCACTGAGGAAGAAGGCTGGGTCTCTCCTCCTCCTCCTCGGACGTGTCCGTGTCCCCAGCCTCCGTGAGCTGGACTCTGGCTCACCCTGACAGTGGAGTTGCAGGAACCTGTGTGTGAATTTCACATCTGTGCCTTCTGCTAACGGCCCGGTGGGGAGTTCCGGTGAGGTCCAGAGCCAGGCTCCCTCTCAGCCACGGAGTCTTCTCGTGAGCAAAAGTCCTACTTGGTGAGCTCCGGGCATTAAAGCTGTGAGCCGTGAGCCATTTGGCCGCTGCATCAGTTAGCCTGCTCTGGAGCCACATCCTTCCGGGGCTAAGACAAAAACGTGTCAGCCGGAGGCTAAAGAGCAGTGAGCGAGCTCACACTGACTCAGCTGGGAGGGAACATTGGCCCAGAGCTCCTCGCCGGATGGTTTGGCTCTGTGAAAGGTGCCTTGATGGGGGGGTGGGATTTGTTTCCCGCTGAAGGACCCTGCAGGGGACTTCTCACCTGGCAAGCTCAGGCACCGCGGGACTCTCTCCAAGACCAGGGCGGGGGAGTGGGGGGAGGGACGGGGACTGCCTGCTTCTGGCTGTGGCTGCCCCTCTTTCCCACGGCCCTGCGCTGGGCGAGGGGGCTGTGTCAGTGCTCTTCTCCGTGAGGAATGGCGGAGGGGGCTGCGGGGTCTTTCCTTGGGGGGCCCCAGGGCAAGGGGAAGAAGGTGTGGCTGAGCTGGAGGGGGGGGAGGTGGAGGCAACCCCCCGGCCATCTGGAAGAGAGAGGCTGGGTGCTGGGAGGAGGGGGCTGCAGGCTTAGGGGTCTTGCCTGTGCAGAGACCTCTTTAGAGGAAGTCCCCCATTCAGGGGAGAGTTTGTGCGCATCCAACCAGTTGGGGGTGTGTGTGTATGACCCTGCTGTTTGGTGTCGCGGTTAAGTGCGCAGACTCTAATCTGGGGGAACCGGGTTAGATTCCCCACTCCTCCACGTGCACCTGGCTGGATGACCTTGGGCAAGCCGTAGTTCTGGCAAGAGCTGTCCTTGAAAAAAGAGCCGTTTCTCCCAGAGCTCTCTCAGCCCCACCCACCTCACAGGGTGTCTGTTGTGGGGAGGGGAAGGGAAAGGAGTTTGTAAGCTGCTCTGAGACACCTTCGGGTAGTGAAGTGCCATGGGGCATAAATCCAACCTCTCCTTCTTCTTCTTCTTCCGCTGCCCCACGCTTGCATTTGGACCACTCAGCCATTCAGAGCCCCATAGCATTAGCCACTGTGGGAAACGGGGGTGAGGAGGAGCCCACTTTTCAGGGTGTGGGGCTCCCCTTCTGTGTCGCTGGCGTCTGGGGGAGGTGGGTGGGGGGCTCCCCTTCTGCCTGGCCGGAGGCTGTTGAGACATGAGAATGGGGGGGGGCTGGCAGGGGAGGGGCGAGGGAGAGAGACCGGCCTGAGGCTCCGACCCTTTGCCCGTATCCCCCACTGCGTGGACTCCAAGGAAGGGACCCCAGGGGTTGTGTGGCTGGGGACTCCCCCCCCCCCAGCTCGGCAGGGAGGGAGCTTTTGCAGGATTGGCTTGTGGCGAGTGGGAGGCTCCTGGTGGGGCCGAGGAGGAGTCTGGGGGGCTTGGAGGCGCCCCCTCCCCCCTGTGGGCTGCATAAGGCGGCTGCATGGCTTGACGCCGGGTGGGTGAGGGGAGTGTTGCATGGTACCGAGGCGGCGGCTGAACAAGTGGCCGTGATGATGGGGGCAAAAGGAGAGGCTGCAGCTCAGTCTCGGAGGAGTGCCCGATTCAAATCCTCCCCTCCCTCGTGGAGAGACCTGTTCTTTCCCCCAAGGTCCTGGTGAGCCATGGCTACTGGGTAGCCTCTGCCTCCGGCAGCCAGGGCAGAGGCCCCGCCTCCCTTGCGGGGTGGTGGTGGTGATTGGGAATCCTTCCTTCCTGCGAGGCCTGAAGAGCCGTGCTGTCTGGCAGGGGACCCAAGACGGAGTGAGAGGCCGTAGATGGTCGGGAATGCAAGGATGGCCCGGGGCCACCTAGTCTGGCATCTCCCCCCCCAGCAGTGGCTTCTGGGAAGCCCACAAAGAAAGGGGGCACAGAGGCAGCAGCCCCCCCCCCGCCACGGGCTTGCCCCTTGGCACGAGGTCTTCAGAGGTAGACTGCCTCTAAACACAGAGGCTCTTGGGGGCAAACAGCCACTGCAAGGTCCTTTCCCTCTTTCGGGCCGTCTGAACCTGTCTGATTCCAGAAACCGAACTGCACTGTGTGAAATCTTGACTCTCCTGTCCGTCAGTTCTATGGGGTGGCTCCCCTCCCACACACACACGAGCTGTCAGACGGGGGACCGCCCCTCGCCGCACACTTCCTCTTTCCACGCATCCTTGTCAGGACCACCACCGGGGTCACGGTGGAAGTTCTGTTGCGTTTCGGGTCCAGGCGCTAAGGCGGCCAAAGGGTTTGCGGAGGCACCCGTCATGGTGTATCAGCCCCAGCTGGGGCTGGCTCTTGGAGCACGGATGCCGGCTCGTGCTCCCCCGCGCAGCCCGAGGAGAGGGTCTGCTTGAGCAGTGTTAAGGGGCTCTTGGGTTTGGCGTGGTGGTGAAGTGCAGGCGCACTCTAATCTTGGAGAACGGGGCTTGATTCCCCACTCCTCCACGTGCAGCTGCTGGATGACCTTGGGCAAGGCATAGTTCTGATAAGAGCTGTCCTTGAAAAAAGAGCCGATTCTGTCAGAGCTCTCTCAGCCCCTCCTACCTCACAGGGGGTGTCTGTCTGTTGTGGGGAGGGGAAGGAGTTTGTCAGCCGCTCTGAGACTCTGAGTGAAGGGCCAGGGGTATAAATCCAATCTCCTCTTCTTCTTGGATCTGCCTCTGGTCCTGGCTCTCTGAGGAGCAGGAGGCCGTTGGCCGCTCCTTTTCCCTCTGCCCACCAAGTCCTGGCAGCCTCTGGCAGAGCAGCAGAGGTGGTCCAAGAGCAGGGCCCCAGGCGACAGGCCCGGGGGTGGATGGGTGTGGCAGCTGAGCCCTTGTGAGCCAGGCAGCCGAAGAAGAGGGATTCGTCCGCTGGGCCGGCCAGTCCTGCCCTCTGCGGAGCTCCCTGGGACAAGCCTGCCTCCAGGAGGACTGTTGGCAGCACACTCCGTTCTGGGAGGCAGCCGGGCCAGGCCAGCATTTTCCTTCCCTACTGAGATCTTCTCCTGCACTGAGGAAGAGACGCTGCAGTCGGGGGGTTGGGGGGGGGGGTGTACCTGAGAGCATCTCCGGAGGACTTCTTTTCTGTGCTGTGCCAAGCGTGCTCGCTGGGGAGACTCGGGGATGGATGTGGATGGACAGTCCTGGGCAGAAGGTGCCCGTGAGCCGCTGAAGGTGGAAGCCGGGACCTCTCCCCTCTCGCTGGGCCTCTGCCAGAGGTGGTGGTGGGGAGCGAGCTGCGGGGCAGAGGCTGAGGGGAGACCTCTCTCTCTCTCTCTTGCAGGGCTGCACAACACCCAGCTGTGAAGCCCCCCCAAACAGGAGGCGGTCCGGATGGCCAGGAGAGGCTCTCCTCGTCCTTGTCCCCGTCCCGGTCTTCCAGCAGCTCAGCAAAGTCCTCTTTGTTTCCATCGGAGCCCCCCAGCTGGCTTTCCTCCCTGGGAGCCGGCCACATCGTCGCAGCAGCAGCTTCTCCGGGGGCCGCAGAGTCCCTGAACCCGAGCGCACAGCGGGGGGTGCCCAGGGTGGTGGCAGCAGCAAGGCCGGGCCTCCCGGCCGCTCAGGCCACCCGTCTGACTCCCGGTCCCAGGGCAGCCCCTCTGGGGGAGAAGGCCAGGCGGGCCGGCGGCACACCCTGCTTGGCTAGCCGAGAGCACCGGCCTGCCCCCGAAGGCAAGCGGCTGAGGATGGGGAGAGCGGGGGTCCCGCCGAGAGGCCCCGAGGGGCTGCACCCGCCAGATGGAGGCACAGGGTTTGCCAACAAGGCGTCCGGCCTGGCACGGGAAGAGGACGTCCGCCACAAGAGGTGAGGAGGTGCCTGTCGGGCGAAGCCTCCGGCCTGGCCAGGGGGGCTGTCTGGCCAAACCCCTATTCTCCCCTCCCTGGCCGGCGCTCCCCCCCCCCTCACCCTCTTCCCTCCCCTCCCCTGCAGGAGCGTCTTCATCACCCGGCGGGAGTTCCTGACGGTGGAGCGAGGGCTGGAGCAGGTGCAGGCGGAGCTGAAGTGCCTGCGCTGGCAGGTGGGGCAGATGGGCGAGGAGGGTGCCCAACCGCCGGCAGAGGAGGAGGAGCCCCGGCGCTACAACGGCTACACCTGGACGGAGCTGGAGGCCCTGGTGCACTGCGAGAGGGACCCCGACCGAGCTGCCCGCACCATCCTCGCCGCCCTCTTCAGCGATGTCTGCCTGCGGCTGCCACCTCTCACCGAACCGGCCTGTGAGGCCCAGGCCCTCCGCAGGCCTATCGACCCGGAGCTGTACGGGGTCTACTGCGGCATCCTGCAGAGCATCTTCCCCGGCCTGCGGGGGGAGAAAGAGGGGGCCGGGGCCGCCCAGACTTCCCAAGAACTGCTCTGCTGCGGGGCAGACCCCGGCCAACAGCAGGAGGGCTCTTTGGCATGACTGGAGGAGCGAGGCGAGGCCCAGCGGGGGGGGGGGGGGAGAGATGCTCCCTGCTCTTCCGGAGCCGGCCCGGAAGAGGCGCTTCGGCTGCCGTGATTCCAACCCCCGCGCCTGGCTCCGAAGCCCTCGCTTTTTACGAAAGGAAACAATAAAGGTGGTGCTTTTGTGCGTACCCTGGCTTCCTGTGCCCCTCCCTCTGGGAAAAGGTGCGCTTTTTGGCATTTGCGTCGAGGAGGAGTTCTTGGGTTGTTCTGTCCCCCCCCCCCCCGGGGAGGGGGGACTGGGTTTTTCCAACGACC